CTTAGACTGAGTTTGGCATATTTTTACATAATTCTCTAAATATTTCAAAATAATTCACAATTATGTGTTAGAAAAACAATTATTTCTAACAGTTTTAGTTTGGAATGTTCATTATTTTTGCTGAATGTCAGTTCAAGTTTATTTTTAACCCGTAGTCCTAATCTTTTATTTGGGGCTTTCCAATCTGCTCACTCTCAAATGACAGCCTCAGTGAAAGCCTTTTGATTAATACGACATCAGAAACTGTCTCCATTTTCCCAGCGTTTAAACTTAGATTTTAGTGTGCTGTTACACACAAAGCAACTGGGAAAATAAACCTTTGCTCATCATCGAATTCCAGCCATTTAGGTGTGTGTGTGTGTGTGTGTGTGTGTGTGTGTGTGTGTGTGTGTGTGTGTGTGTGTGTGTGTGTGTGTGTGTGTAGGAAAGAGAGCGATTTCTTCTCTGGTTTCAGGCTTTTAAGATGTTGCAGATAACACGTCTGTGCAGCCATCCACTCAGGATACAGTTACTGTGTTCGTAGCGGTGATTTATTCCCTGCAGAGTTCTGCTGGGGCTATTGAAACCTAAACGCTGTTTAGAATTTGTGGAAGACACAGTAGCACATCCCCCCCCCCCCCCCCCCCCCCACACACACACACACACAATCAGCATGTTGCCTGAGGGAGCATTTTGCCTGGTTAAAAGCTCTTTATGTGTCGGAGACTCTCCTAACTGTCCCTCTGAGAGATGGCTCAACAGTTCAGGTTACAACAGGATGACTCTGATTGATGCAAACTCACACAACTGGGCTTTCTTGTTTCTAAACCAGAAAGAAAAACGGCATAAGGGGAAAGAGAAAACTTAGCAATGTGTAGAAATTTATTGAACCAAACATGAGCAAAGATACAATGTAAAATTTAGTTTTTTTTATTCTTTTAAGCTCCAGTTTTCCTTCCATGTTGCTAAATTTGGTAGCAACACAAGATAGTCACACCTAGAAATGAGCAGCAACAGAATTGGCATCACTGGCTCCCGTAGATCCATCTGCTCAGTTGCAAGACGTAAAGGGATTAGATAATTAGACACAGGTGCACCCAGAGCGCTGACATGTTTTAGAGGCAGATCTGCTTCAAAACCAATATCTGTGGTTGAATCAGAGCACAGTAGACTCGGTAGATCTTCATATAAATTTTGAGATTCAAGAGGGAGACAATTTATGGACAACAAATATATAATTATTATTATTAAGAAGTGAAACAAAGTTAACAGGATTTACATAAAGTGTGCAATGATAGTTCAAACAAAATTGGGCAGGTGGATTCATTTGGGCATAACAAAAAAGAAATGAACTCAATATATAGTAATTCCTCCTTTAGCAGAAATAACAGCCTCTAAACATTTCCTATAGCTTTCAATGAGTGTCTGGATTGTGGTTGAAGGTACTTCTGGACCCTTTTTTACAAAACATCTCTAGTTCATTCAGGTTTAATGGCTTCTTCGCATTGGCCTGCTCTCTTTAACTCACACCACAGATTTTCAATAATAATAAGGTATGGGGACTGAGATGGCCATTCCAGTATGTTGTACTTGTTCCTCTGCATGAAGGCCTTAGTAGATTTTTCCATCCAGCCCCAGAGCAGCTTCAGCTTTGTCCCTGATTCCTGGACATTGGTCTCCAGAATCTGCTGAAATTGACTGGAATCCATGCGTCCCTCAACTTTTAACAAGATTCCCAGTCCCTGCACTGGCCACACAGCCCCACAGCATGATGGAACCACCACCATGTTTTACTGTAGGCAGCAGGTGTTTTTCTTGGAATGCTGTGTTCTTTTCCCTCCATGCATAACACCCCTTGTTATGTACAAATAACCCTGCTTTAGTTTCATCAGTCCATCTTATTCCAGAATGAAGCTGGTTTGTCTAAATGTGCTTTAGAAAACCTCGAGTGGCTGTGAGTGGAGGAAAAGCTTCCTTTGCATCACTTACAACATCTCCTTGTGTAAAGTGCACCGAATAGTTGAATAATGGACAGTGACTCCATCTGCAGCAAGATGATGTAGTAGGTCTTTGGTGCTGGTCTGTGGTCTCTGACTGTTCTCACCACTCTTTGCTTTGGATTATCAGAGATTTTTCTTGGTCTGCGACTTTGAGCCTTAACTTGAACTAAGCATGTAGTCATCAATTTCCTGAATATGTTCCTAACTGGACAGCTGAAATCTGAGACAGCTTTCTGTTGACATGTTTGGGGAATGTGTTTAACCAAAGACATGCAGAATCACACACTCCGATCTGATGGTAAAAACGAATCTTTATTTTAAAATGGGAACTGAAGGTGCACTGGAAAAGCCCAGTGGAGATCGAGAGTGGGAGCGCAGCGTCGGGGGTGGGGTGGGTGGGTGTGTGTGTGTGTGTGGGGGGGGGGGGGGGGGGGGGTCGGGGGGGGGGGGGGTTGAGCATATACAGGTGAGTCCAGGAAGGTAAGTCTAAACTTGGTGGGTGCAGAGAATAGACTTACTGCGAGTAGGAGAGCGTAGGAGTGAGGGAGGGTAGGTTGGGTGCCGGGGTGAATCCAAGTGGGGTGTCCAGGAGAGGAGAGCAGTAGAGCAGGACGGCCGGGAGGAATGGAGAACAGGGAGAGCTGCGTCGCAGAAATCCAAAGACGCAATCCTGAGGAGTCACAAAAATCCAAAGGCGTAATCCAGAGGAGTTGCAGAAAACTATAATTCAGGGAAGTCACAGAAGTCCAAAAACGTTGCAAAACCTGGCAACGGGTAAGCACAGGGAAAAGATCCAAAGGTTCACAAAAAATCCTAGAAACACTAGAGCACAAAATCCAAGCGTCGCAAGAGGGCAGGAAACTACCAAGCTGTAGTAATCATCCGGCACTGGAGACTGTTCTCCATCGTGCTTTTGTAGCCAGACCCGCTGATTGCAAATCAGCTGCAGCTGGAGCTCCCTCTCCTGAAACACACAACTCAAAGATGGGAAAATGAGAGGAGTACTCACCCCGGCACATGACATCTGTAGCCTAAACCATGATGGTGAACAATCTTTGTTTTCAGGTCATGTGAGAGTTGTTTTGAGACCCCCATGTTGCTGCTCTTCAGATAATATTCATAGAGGAGGGAAACTTATATTTGACCTTCTTAAATACGCTTTCTCATAATTGGAATCACCTGTGTATGGAGGTCAAGGGTCACTGAGTTCCCAAACCAATTTTGAGTTCCAATAATTAGTTCAAAAGTTTTTGGAATCAATAAAATAACTACAGTGCCCAAATGTATGCACCTGCCTAATTTAGTTTAAATAGTTATTGCACACTTCCTGTAAATCCTATAGCGTGGTTAAACTACATACTAGAATTAACGCTGTTTGCTATCAGCGTTGTTAGATTCTGAAGAAGATCAAACGAGTTAGCAAATGAAGCTTCTATCCTATATAAATATCTAGGATATTAATATATTTGATAGAAGTTCATACGCCAACGAGCTTGGTCTATATTTAATCCAAAGATTAATTTTTAATTTAAGATAATTAAATTTTAGCAAAAGTTTATTTATTGAATCAGAAGCTTAGAGGAGTCTTTGCTTATTCAATAACCACATATATATACCAGTCTGTGTTTCATTTCAAGGAAGAGTCAGGTTTAGAAAGTTAAGAATTTATTACTAACAATTTTAAAAATAACAGATTATAACTGACAGTTTGTAACGGCTTGATATTAAACTTGTTATTAAAAGCAAACCTGTGTCTGGATGGAAAGCTAAAATGAAATGCGAGGTTTGGATGCATGAATGATATCTCAGAAGATTTCTTTCAGAGAGAGAAAGCGTTCTGGGTGGAAAAACGTTGGGTTCTTAGAGAGAACTGCATACAGACGCCATCTGTCGGGAAGTCTACCTCACCCAGTTCAGGAGACCCTCTGTGGATCCGAGATGTCAGGTGGAGATGATGTCCTCTGGGCACGAGGTTGGTAGAGGGACCATGGTGCGACTCAAATTGGTCCTGAGATGTCACTGGGTGAAAACGACTGATGAAACTATTTGCGTCTCAAAATCAATAACGCTGAAGGAGTTTTTGCGTCAGCTGGTTACAGGTGCGTTTATTCGGAGCAATTCTATCGGCATGACAGAACAGCTTAGTAGAGGCTTGGGCGGCCGTCCCTCGTCCTCTGGTTGGTTCAAGAACTGAACTTCAGCTGCAGAGATTTGGTTTTAACAAAACCTCAGAACACGCCCTCTCAGCGTCAGAAAGCTCTTTGTTATGGGGTAAAGACATGTGAGGTGGTTAACTTTACCTTGGATCCAGTCCTGCATGAGGTGTGTACGTGCCAATGACCTTCTGGTTGATGATCACACATTACTGATTATCATAAATAATAATTATTATTAACCCAAAGAATAATAAGTCATTTCAGTAATTAAATACATTTATACTGAACCAAGATGATTATTTATGATGATTATTATATGATTGTAATAAACAGTAAAACAGTTTATTAAATTATTATTTTAAAATTTTGAAGTGTCCTTCATCTTGGGACGGAACAGCAGCAGATAAAGATGATGTTTAGCAGACATCCCAGCTCCTGATGGGTAATCTGTGGAACAAAAGTTACAGCTCGACCCAGCTGGGAAAGGGTGACCTTTGGGTCACAAATATGAGGTCATTCATGTCGCTACAATCCTATAAACTTTGTATCACTTATACAATGTCACTGACTGTGTCTCCTATATGATAAAGTTAACAGACACTTTTTATTGCAAGGCTGCCCAAACCTTTGCATATATATATATATATATATTTATTTTTTTTTACCCCAGAATTCTGATGATAGTGAACAGCTTTACAACCAATCATATTGTGTCTAAATATTCTGTAATGTTGTATCAGTCTGTTTCTTTAAAGAATGAGTTTCCTCTTAACATGTTCTTACTTCACTACCATTCACATAAGTTGCAGTAATGTTAGTTTTAACTTTGTTTCCTCTTTTTTTTTTCTTGTGTGTATCATTGCAGCCCCGTCCCCCGTTAGTGTAGTGAGGAAAGGATACACGGGAAAAAGCAGCATCGGCCTTTCCTGGGCAGAACCTGATCGCCCAAACGGCATCATTCTAGAGTATGAGATCAAATATTTTGAAAAGGTAACCCCCCCATTTCCACACACATGTTCTATATCTCCCCTATACTTATGCAGTATTTATTTCATTGATGATGATGCTCTCAAGTTGATATTAATTTAGTTGTAACATATTTTTTGTGACTGAGAAGTACATCTCAAGCAGACCAAATAGTCAGTGAAACAAAAAATTTTCTTCTCATCTTTGTTTGGCAATAGAACCATAATTAAAGCAGAAATTTTCATAAATTGTATTTAGCTCATTAATGTAGTATTAATTCAATTTAATTTATATTTTCTATTATTTTTTTTCTATTTATTTTAATTTTAGGTAGAAAAAAACTAAATTCTACGGTGTCCTCTGCATTGTTAGGTCTAGAAGGGAAATTTTTAAATAAAAAAAATGAATTAACTGAATATTTAATTTGCTATTTAAAAGGAACCTAACCAAATAATTTGTAAGAGTTTGTTTTAATAAAGTGTTTTTATATTGTGCTGTACTGACTTAAAAAAACAAATACAAATAGGATGCTCCTGCCTTAAGTTGGGTTCCACACATTTAATAAGAGTTCTCTCTCTCATGATCTTTGTTTTGCAGCTGAATAAAATTTCTCTGGGTGAAGGCACATTTAATTTAAAATAAACTTAATTTTAAAAAAGCAATTAGCAACTAGAATTATCCACACTTGTCCTATGCCCCATTACACCCAAAAACCTCTCACACATTACAAACAAAGCAGCAGCACATAGTTAGTTTATCTAGTTTGGCTTTTTATTTATTCTACTAGATTAGGATTCATGCAGCAATTTGAGGCTTGCATCTGGATCAGTGAGGCTGCTCTGTCCTTTTTTCTGTTCCTCACATGTCATCTTAGTTTTTTCTACTTTTCTCCTGAGAAGGTCAGAATAAAGACACAGAGGAGAACAGAGTGCATTCTGTGGTCAGTGGTTTGCTAATGGCCTCAGACTTAATGGAAAGACGGTTTAGTTTTGTTTAAACCAGATGTGGTTACAGTCAGGAAACTGATACACACACACACACACACACACACACACACACACACACACACACACACACACATGCTCACATACACCTCAGGTAGTCTAACCTATTGTTTTCCTTTTACCCGTTATAGGAGCAGGACTCCAGTTATACCATCATAAAGTCCAAGGAAACTGAAATGGTTGTGGAAGGCTTGAAAGCCTCTTCTGTCTACATCTTCCAGGTAAAAGATCAGTTCAAATGTCTACGGGTCTACGCTTAAGAATGACACTAGAAAAAATGCATTTTTGAGGTAATGATTCAACTCAAGTTAAAACATAATATTTCTGTGACATTTTCTATGATTAAACAAGGTACGAGCCCGGACCTCAGCTGGCTACGGTGCCTTTAGTCGACGTTTTGAATTCCAGACGAGCCCATACTGTGAGTACACCGGGACAATACAATCAACAATGGCTGCCAGGTGCGGCTTTGTGTGCTTGCGGCCTGTGTCTGATCCCACTTCTTTACTCTGGCAGTGACTGCCACCAGTGAGCGTGCTCAGGCTTCGATAATAGCGGTGGCCATCACATTGGCGCTGGTTCTGCTGGCAGTGGTTGCTGGATTCCTGCTCAGTGGACGGTAGGCATAAATAAACACCTGAAAAGCAAAGAATAAATACATGCCAGAAAGTGTGTATGGTCTCATGTGTTTGCATATGTGGACCAGGATGAGAGCTAGGTTAAATCTGACTTTTTTGATGCAGCGCGATGCGATTAAGTTTTACCTTGGGGTGCAAGGGACAGCTGGTGATCTGGTCTGCTGACCTAATGACTCTTTGTGGATTCATTTTGTCAGCAACAGTACAGCCAGCATTCTGCATTATGATGCAGCATCTAATGACACTCTTGGTGGTTGGCTGTTAGCTTCTCATAGCGCTTTAGTGAAACATTAAATCCCATCATAAGCCCTGAAAGTAACAGTATAGAACACAACTGTGTGTTCTATGTAATAACATTGTAATAAAAACACAGCTAACAAAATGTGTCACTATGTTGGGATAATTCAACTAACTCTTCAAAGAGACTGCATGTGCTTAAAGATAAGTTATTGTTTTAGCTGCTCAAGTGCAACTAAAAATATTTAAGTGAATTGTGTTTGATCTAGCTGAATTTGGAACAAAGTTGTTTTATGGGCCCTTTATGTTTTTTTTTAAGTATATCCATTTATAGCTGTCTTTATTAACTGTTTATTATGACCACTTGTTTAACAAGTCAGGTTATTTAAAGGGGCAGTAGAATGTAAAGCCAAATGTTTCTTCTTGCTTTTGAACAAAGGAAGCTTGGCTCATCAAATGTAGCATGCCCAAAAGTCAGAGCCGTGTCTGACCTGCTTTGAAAAGGCAAGGGAGAATCGGTTAGTTCTGAGAAAAGCTTCTGACAACACGTAATAATTAAAGCCACTCCTGGTTACTCCTGCATGTCCCAACCCACTTCAGTATCAGCAATATGGAAATGCTAGTCGCGGTACCACTAACAACAGAACAACCTTATGTTTAGCTGCTGCCTATGACCATGCTGGACAAGAGCACACAACCACTAATGTTACAGGATGTATTGGGAATGCCCAGACTTTGAGTGACTGCCTGATGGATCCATAGCTTGTGGTCTGGTCCTGTACTTCTCATCTTCTTCATCCAGCCAGACTTTGCCAGACACACTCATCCTTGTTAACCTTTTCATCATTCACTTCTTCCTTTGAGTCGACGCAACATTAAAGGTGCAATAGCAAATCTGCAAAACAGGCTAGCTTTTAAACAGTCGCAGAACTCTCACCCCTCCCGTTGGCTATCATCCCTGGGCCATGACCTCCTTATATGGGAACGTGCATTGCCACAGTAAACGAGATGGTGCTAAACACCAGTCACAGTTTTCTAAGTCCAAACATCTTTTGTTTTCCACAGCTTCAAATGCTGTTTGTCTGTTTGGACTCTGGTAGTTTGTCCTACGCAGCAGGCCGTCTCTTCTCTGATGTAATTGAGCGGAGAACCTCTCACGCCAGTGGTGTTCTGTTTCAAAAGGTGCAAGTGTGTAATGAATGTAGGACTCAGGTGAATGTGAAAGTGTAGTGGTTTGAAGGAGATGGACAACCAGATGGTCCAATCGTTGGTTTCGGTCCGAGCCTTGTTAAACAAAAGCAACAAGGTTGTTGTGCATCCTCCCTGCAAAGCTAGGCTGGCCAACTTGGACACAATCCCTTTCAGCATGTTTTATCATGTTTATTTACATTTGGAAACCAAATGCATATGAGGTTCCACCGTGCAAAACATTTGGTGGAGTTTTATTTTTTTGTGCAGTCACTGTAATCATTTAATTAACTTTGCAAATACAGAAAATCTGTATTTGTTTTTTATTTATATTTATTTATTTTTTGCTGTGTTTGTGTTTGCATGTGGGATCAAATTTCAAATCCCTCACCCCATTTAATCTGGGTTATCTGTGATTATCTCTGATGCCATTTGTCTAAATATTAACAAACGGAAGCTTTCTGAGCCACACACAAACACGCACGTATACACACACAGACACGCACGCATGCACACACACACAGACACGCACGCACGCACACACACACACACACACACGCATGTACACACACACACACACACACGCACGCACACACACACACACACACACATTACTTAGGAAGACCACTTACATCTAAATTCTATTCTCACTTGGTTGAAATGCTTTAATATATGTCCCATGCTGCTAAGAAACATACCTTTTTGTTGTGCGTGCGCACGCGCACACACACACACACACACACACACACACACACACACACACACAGAGCACAGTAAGGAAGAAAAGAAGAGAAACTCATTTGATTTCTTGAGAAAAACTTTGCTGGAGAAAAATTTATCTGAAAAAGGCTCATTTGTGCAAATTTCTAAAGTCTTTGCACTTTTCAACATTTTCAGATTTTTTTTTATTAACTTCAAATTAACTGAACTGTACTGAGCTGAATGTGGCTTAGCAGATTCAAAGAGGATATAAAAAGCTCATGTTGCAATCATATACATGTATATCTGGTGTTTAAACATTATTTTGTAAACCTTTACAATACCATAAATATAGCATTCTTTGTTTTTTTTTTGTTTGTTTGTTTGTTTTTTGCTAGCAATGTAAGAATATCCTGCCAGACTTGAATCCTGGAATTTAAATTTCGTAAAGATTTATTTAAAAAAAACATGACGTGAAAATTAGAGCCAATTTAATATTTCAATTTAATGTTAGTATTTAATATTTTGGTTTTTGTTGTGCTTGAGGCAGCCATTGGCAATTATAAGTGCCAAAAATATTTCTCCAAAAAGAAATAGGCTATGAATCTTTCTACAGTTATTTATATTATTTTAACAAAATTAACCACGTTGTTTGCATAAATTTGGTTTTCAAATACTTTTTTTAATCTATTGTTACTGCTTGAGATGGGGAAAAACATTTAAAATAAACCCAACCACAGTGTTTCCTCATTTTATAACCAAATGTTGACTTAATTCATTTTATAACCAAATGTTGACTTAATAATGTTTCTACATTAAAAGTTCTTCTCACTTGGTAATTGTGTTAACAATGCCGCTGCGGCGTGCTACTGACTCTAATGCGTTTGTGCTGCCTCCTCAGGCGATGTGGCTACAGCAAAGCTAAGCAGGATCCTGAGGAGGAAAAGATGCATTTTCACAACGGTCACAGTAAGTCATGTAAATTATTCTGTTTATTGCACTTGGTTTGTATTATTGTTCACACAACTACAAGCTCAGCTCTTTTCTGCATGGATGGCAGTGAGTTCAGACTGTGGTCATGTCTCTGTTTATCTGCATAAGTACGGATGTCTGCTACCAGTACACATGACACTCCCGAGTGCCAGCAGCTATTTCTTGAATGGCAGCCACGACAGTGGAGGACACATAACGCTCTGATGCATTATGGGCTGTGACAGTTCTATATATTTATCCACATTTTTGGCACTGAATCTTGCTATCCATCTGCTGGTTTCTGAGCCAGCTATAATGGCTACATCAGCTCCAAGACAAACCCACTAAAGAGCCAGTATGTGTGGGATAATGTTCTACTTGTTAGTCATTGAAGAGCATAATTTAAATTAATGTTTTGCAAATAACGCACAAGAAAAATGCACGTTTTTAGTCATTTAAAGTTTCTACACTTGAAATCAGTCATCTAGTTTAGATAGTTCAAGTAAAATCACAAAGAACTTGAGTAATTCCTTGCTTCCTATTTTAAGGGTTCAGTGTTTGAGTCAAAATCAAGTTCTGTCACATCAACTAAAGGCATGGTTGTGTTTAAAAATAGTGAAAAATAATGACAGATGTGTCTGCGGATCAGTAATAATATTCTAAATTTTGATGTTTTGGGTGCATCTAAGATAAGTATATTTAGGTCAAGATTGCTTACTGGGGGGTGCTGCATGAGATCTTTGAAATTAAAACAAGGGTATATTTATTAAAGGTGTGTTTAACTCATTTATTCAAACATGTTCTGTGTTCTCAAGTGTAAATAAATGCCTTATGAACAATAAAAAAGAGCTATGATGCTCCTGTTCTGAGATGCAGAAGTTTGCTGGTGCAGAGGTGGTCTGAAAACAGCAGGATTACTCATTATTAATGCTACGCACAGACCCAGCTTCTGATTGGCTAATCAAACTCGTTCAGCCATGTTGCAAAGTCACTATCACCAAGACACTCTCTACTTTCTCTGCTCGCTGCAAAAATGGGTGGACGTGAGCCAAGATGCACACATGAATGCAAATTCACAGTGTGACATAGATGTGTGAGGATTTTCTAATGCTCACATATTTCTCTAATATGTGGGCTAATGCAGAAGATGGTGTAGGAGACTGTTTTCATGTTCACCCTTCATGAAAAATTCAGAGTGACTGATTGTAATCAGAAATAACAATTTTTTTTTCAGTCAACCACACCTTTAAGAAATGAACTGATGTGCTGTCAAGTGTTAACCAGCTGCGGTCAGCTAGGCTTTTTCTGTCTAAGGGCCATGATATACTTGTTGTTTAACCTAGCGTTGCCGCAAGCAGCATGCTGCATCTCTGATGACATACTTGCTGCTACATGTCACTGCACTGCTTGTATTAGTAGAGTGTTTCACTTGGGGAGCACTAGTGAACCCAGACCTGATAGAGAGCCAAGTTTGTGGGAACAACCAAAGCAAACATGGTGTCAATAAACTCACTAACTGGTTAACTTTGAGATCACAACAGGAAAAAAGACAGCAGCGGTATCGTGGATTGTGTGAAAGACCTCTAAACCAGATGGAGTCCCCATGGTGACTCGCTCATTTTGTCAACTCCACCTACTGGTTACTCCTATAGTGCAGCATTCAGAGGCATTGCGTTAATTCCGGGGGATGTGCACAAACTACGCTTCAAATCAATGCAAGTAATCTGTGGCAGCCATTTCAAACATGTGTTTGCATCATTAAACAGCAAGTATATCAAGGCCCTAATGAGCATCAAAGATCATCTTTCTTGTCTAAATCATCTCCTACTAGTGGAGCTTTTATTTTTTGGTTCTGTACTTCCAGGGGAGGAAGACCAGTTACACTCTAACTCTGCTCCTGATACACTCTCAAAAATGACTATTATTCAGTAGGTTGGTTTAAATAGGAAAAGCATGGAAAAATGGTACAAATAACACATCTTGATCCCCTCAAGCCACTTCAGTCCAGATGACCCTTTATCTTCTCATACATAATGTTTTATCCTTAGCTTGCTCTCACCCATTTGGTAGCATGGTTCATTTCTATTGGATCAGTACAAGTAAATGTGTAAGGGCATGGCTGTATGACACATCTTATACTATTTAGAAAGTTGTGAATATCATTTGGGTGTTGCAGCTAATCTGAAGAGAAAGAACAAACTGTGCCGACCTCATTAAATCGGACAGATTAGCTGTCTTTCCGTTACCGTAACTTCAGGGTAAAGTCTGGGACACGGTAATTGACCAGGAGAAACAAAGTCTCAGCCGGTCCTCTCAGCTGTTGTCTCCATTCACATTCAGCCTTTTCAGAACTTTGCACAGACGTCAGCATATCACAGCTGCTTTGACAGTGAGCGATTTCATTCATCAGTGCCAAAAAGCATCCACAGTAACATTAATAACATTAAAATAATTCAATCTTTCTAAATATATCATAACTTAATCCATTCAGAGGATGAGACCATCTGTGTGTTGTACAATGTGGTGTTCAATGACCAGAAGATGTGCCATTTTTTACAGTGCTCTGTGAGACAACAAAGCCCTGTTAATTAAGTCGTTGTGACAGTATTTCCCCATTTTTTTCTACAGCAGGCAAGATGTGAATAAAAGACATTAAATGGTAAATGCTCTGTATTTGAAATGGCGCCTTCTACAACCCCACAAGGCACTTTACAATACAGTCATTCACACATTTACACACATTCCCTCACTGATGGTGATAAACTATACCCTGGCAAGCTAGACTAATTAAATATATTATTTGGTCTGGCCACCCTCAATTGACGGCTCTCAGTCGTGGGGCGGGTTCTACCGTTGTCTTTCAAACAATCTCTGCATATTACTGGACATTGAACAACGTTACGTACTCACCGCAATGGATGTCGGTAAACGAGGTGGTCTGCTGTTGAAGAAGGCAAAACTACATCCTTTTTTCTAAAAAATAAAAGAACTTAAATACATCTATCTGCTCCGGACTCCAATAAAGCCCAAGTCCAAATAGCCCAAAATTGATATACTAAAAGCCATTTCAAACGAGCTGTCGCCATCTTGTTCCACTCTGTTGCATCATCCCGCCCACCAGACGAATAGAGGGCACTGATTGGCCCACAAAGTGGATAAAGCGCTGTGATTGGTTGACAAAGCAGATGGCGTGCTATGATTGGCCCACCAATATGGACCAATCACAGCTCACTATGTGTTTGAAACCCCTCTAGAGAGCTGTGATTGGCTAGCCAGAATGCTGCTAGGGGCTGCAGAGGTTCCAATGGAGCGTTCCTAGACCAAACTTTTCAAAGCAAGAATTTGGTTTAGTTCACTAGGCCAGATAAACTATTTTATAACCACTGGTGCAATGGAGCATGCTGACAGAGAGGAGGGTGCGCTACTCAATCAATCAAACTTTATTTATAAAGCACTTTTCCTACAAAGAATGCAACTCGAAATTCTTTACATCTGAAAGTGTCTGTAAATAACCCTCATTCCCATTCCTCTCACACCAGTTTTAAAGTATAGACACAGTCATACCATACCCCCCCCCCCCATACCCCCAGAAAATTAAAGTGTGTAGTTATAAAAGCAAAATAGTAAATGGCATTTAAGATGGTTATGCATAGAAATTGTGGTTACAGCTCAAAATGTGACCTTTGCATTTGATCATCTTTTTTATTTGAGTTTTTTTTTCTGCATTATGATGTGAATTCAAACCTATTAAATGACTTTTAAATAGAAATGGTGCCATGTTTGTTCTGCTGCAGTCAAATTTCCTGGCGTCCGGACCTACATTGACCCGCTTACCTATGAGGATCCTAACCAGGCAGTGCATGAATTTGCACAAGAAATTGACGTTTCCTTCATTTCGATTGAAAGGATCATTGGTGCTGGTGAGTTTCTTCAGTGTGTGTGTGTGGGTGTGTGTGTGTGGGCGTGCATGCGTGCACAACTTACAGACTCATTCAGAGCAGAAATTGATTTTGACTGAACAAAAAAGCACGTAATATATTAATATTTATTCAAAACTCACTGAAGTATATGCTTTATTGAGGTGAAATATGTAATAATACATATAATGTATACACAAACATACTCTCCTTCGGTCCTGTTTCAGGGGAGTTTGGTGAGGTCTGCTGTGGACCCCTAAGGCTTCCTGGGAAAAGGGAAATCCAAGTTGCCATCAAGACCTTGAAAGCAGGCTACACAGAGCAGCAGAGACGAGACTTCCTGTGGGAGGCATCAATCATGGGCCAGTTTAACCATCCAAACATCATCCGTCTGGAGGGAGTGGTCACCAAGAGTAAGTGTTTGGGATGGTTTCCTAAACTTTTACATCAGTTCCTAACTGTGTGTGTGTGTGTGGGGGGGGGGGGGGGGGGGGGGGGGGGGGGGGGGGGGGTCAAACACCGTAAGAGTATACAGTCCAATGCACAGAAATTCGGCAATAAACGTTTCCTTTCTGGATGTTTCTATAATAAATTGCCATAAAGAAACATTTTTTAAAATGTTTTCTTCACTTGGGAATTGGATTGCTGCTTTAACTAATTAACCCTTTAAGCGCCAAAGTCGCAGAATTGCGACAAGCAGCAATGTTGGATTTAATAAGCCACAGCAGCAGAAATGAGCCCTCATGCAGTTAATATGTAACACTGTGGGGTGACAGACACCTGTAACTTCAATCCAAGCAGCATTTGTGGGTGTTACTATTCAAATTTTTCGAGTATTTAGAGCTTGAACCCCGCCCACCAGTCACAGAGTCGCGGCGGTTGTTAGAGCAGTCAGATCGAGTGAGTGCGAGCGAGTGGTTGAGGGGAAAAAACACAATGCCGAGAGGAATGTTCAGTGCGGACGAAGCTCTTTGTCTAGTACTGGCAGATTCAGATTCGGAGGAAGAATATTTCCTTTCCGAGGATGATCTGCTGTCTTCTAGCGAGACGGAAAGCGTGGCTTAAGGCACAGCAACAGAGAGTCCGTCAGCGACGACACAGTTACACAAGCAGCCCATCCAGCCCATACCTTATCTGATATTCCACTTTGGGCAACGAGACGTGGCGGGGGGGGGGGGGGGGGGGGGGGGGGGGGGGGGGGGCTTGTACCGGGGCTGATCCTTTGCTCCACAGTGTGGGGGGGTGGCGGTGATCGGGCCGGTGAAAACTCCGCTGGTGATCAATTCAGCCCCGGGGGTGTAATCCGTGGGAATTGGAGCCGGAGGGGGAGGAACCGCGCGGAAAAAAAATCACTGCTGGCAGTGCGGTGGCCCAACACAGCCTCAGTGTCAATAATAATGATGATGGCTGGGTTAGTTTGGGAGAAGAGGAACAGTGTTCCAAGTGGATCAGGCATTTTGATGAACCAGTTGGGTACTGTGGAGACAGGGATCTGTCAAATTCTGAACACATTGAGTTTCTGTCAGTTTTTTTGGATGAGGATTTCTGGACCCTCATCACAACTGGAACTAACCGATTTGCTCACCAGTATTTAGAGAGGGAGGAACTGAAATCTAGCTCCAGATATAATAACTGGTATGATGTAACTGACCCAGAAATGAAAGCGTTCATTGCCATTCAGTTCTGCATGGGGCTTGTGGAAAAGCCTGAGATTGAGGATTATTGGGCTGGCTTTTGGCCAACATACACACCTGGCTTCAGCAAAGTGATGTCAAGAAACAGATTTGAGATCATCCTTTCTTTTCTCCACTTTGTAAATAATGATGAGCGTGTTGAAAGGGGTCAGCCAGGTCATGGCAGACTGTTCAAGGTGCGGCCCATCATTGAGATGATAATTCCACGCTTTTCATCCATCTATGGTCCGCAGAAAGAACTGTCCTTGGATGAAATGACCATCGCATTCAAGGGAAGGTCTGCCTTGAGGCTATACAACCCCAAAAAAACAGACAAATATGGCTACAAAGCATTTGTTCTAAGTGAGGTCAGCTCAGGTTACGTTGTGCAGTGGTCCCTCTACACTGGACAAAGTGCAAATGATGATGAAAATGTAGGTGCCACACATTACATTGTTCGTCAGCTGCTGGCCCCACATACAGGGAAAGGGCATGAGGTGTATATGGACAGCTATTATACTTCACCAGCCATAGCTCGTGAGCTGGCAGCTAACGAAATTGGTATGTGTGACACTGTAAATTGCAACAGGAGAGGGATGCCAAGCGGCCTGAAACCAGCCCAGTTGCCATTGAGAAGGGGAGATGTTTCCGTGTTCATGCGAAATGATAAGCTGCTGGCATGTGCATGGCATGACACGAAGCGGCTCACTCTGCTGTCCACCTTTCATGGCAACACATGCACAAAAAACGCATCCACACAAGGGAAAATGTGACTGGGTTTCGAGAAATAGAGAAACCATTGTGTGTGCTGACAGCTACAACTCATTTATGGGAGGAGTAGACAGGGCTGATCAGCAAATGAAAACGTACCTCTATCCATACTAGGGCCTGCACGACTTTATTTGTTTTAAAGTCAACAGTCAAGTAATGAAAGTCGAGTCGACTTCGACTAGTCGTTGATGACGTCATACGCCGGAAGCGGGGGGGGTCGGTCGGTAGGTTCGCTGGAGTTTTTGACAATTAAAATTGCGCCCACATATTCTAAGTTAACACATCTCTTTTAACAACGGTAGTTTCTGCATCCTACTTCAGCCCTCTCCCCCCTCCCCCTGCGCAGCGGCCACAAACTCACTGATGCGCCTGCAGCCTCTCGGAGTTCCTGCTGCTCTAAACATTAAAATAATTATTTCATTTTCTGTTCCTCACTTCTGATTACCTTCAATAGTGTCTGTTTGTTGCAACCACCAGGTACAAAAACTAACTTGTTTTTATTTGACTATTTTTCTGTCCTGTCTGTTTATTATCTTCCTGCATCTCCTCTCAATCCTAAAGAAAAACTGCTACCTGGGTTCATTTATATTCACCTGTGGTCGTAAGGTGGCCGGTGCCAGTCGTGGTGGCAACCCCCGTACCCGCTGGTGGACACCAGAGGTTCGGGGAGCCGTCAGGCTGAAGAAGGAGGCCTACAGGGCGTGGCTGGTCTGTGGGTCTCCGGAGGCAGCAGACAGGTACCGGATAGCCAAGCGGGGTGCAGCAGTGGCAGTTGCCGAGGCAAAATCTCGGGCGTGGGAGGAGTTTGGTGAGGCCATGGAGAAAGACTATCGATCGGCTCCAAAGAGGTTCTGGCAAAATGTCCGGCGCCTCAGGAGAGGAAGGCAGCAACTCGCTCACACTGTTTACAGTGGGGATGGGGAGCTGCTGACGTCAACTGAGGCTATAGTCGGACGGTGGAAGGAATACTTTGAGGAGCTCCTCAATCCCACCAATACGCATTCCGAGGAGGAACCAGAGCTGGGAGGCCTGGGGATGGACTGTCCGATCTCGGGGGCAGAAGTTGCTGAGGTAGTCAAACAACTACACAGCGGCGGAGCCCCGGGGGCGGATGAGGTTCGTCCTGGGTATCTCAAGGCTATGGATGTTGTAGGGCTGTCATGGTTGACACGTCTCTACAACATTGCGTGGTCATCGGGGGCAGTTCCTAGGGAGTGGCAGACCGGGGTGGTGGTCCCCATCTTTAAGAAGGGTGACCTGAGGGTGTGTTCCAACTATAGGGGGATCACACTCCTCAGCCTCCCTGGAAAGGTCTACGCCAAGGTACTGGAGAGGAGGGTCCGATCGATAGTTGAATCTCAGATTGAGGAGGAGCAATGTGGTTTTCGTCCTGGCCGTGGAACTGTGGACCAGCTCTATACCCTTGCAAGGGTGATGGAGGGGGCATGGGAGTTTGCCCAACCAATCCACATGTGCTTTGTGGATTTGGAGAAGGCTTATGACCGTGTCCCCAGGGGCACCCTGTGGGGGACGCTCCAGGAGTATGGGGTGGGTGGCTTTCTGTTAAGGGCCATTCAGTCCCTTTACCAGAGGAGCGTGAGTTTGGTCCGCATAGCCGGTAGTAAGTCGGACCTGTTCCCAGTGAGGGTTGGACTCCGCCAGGGCTGCCCTTTGTCACCGGTTCTGTTCATCACTTTTATGGACAGAATTTCTAGACGCAGCCTTGGTGTGGAGTGTGTCGAGTTTGGTGGCAGGAGAATCTCGTCTCTGCTTTTTGCGGATGATGTGGTCCTCCTAGCTTCATCCAGCTCTGACCTTCAGCTCTTGCTGGGTAGGTTCGCGGCCGAATGTGAAGCGGCTGGGATGAGGATCAGCACCTCCAAATCTGAGACCATGGCTCTCGACCGGAAAAGGGTGGCTTGCCACCTCCAGGTCGGGGGAGAGGTCTTACCTCAAGTGGAGGAGTTTAAGTATCTCGGGGTCTTGTTCACGAGTGAGGGTAGGAGGGATCGGGAGATCGACAGGCGGATTGGTTTGGCGTCTGCAGTGATGCGGACGCTGAGCCGATCTGTCGTGGGGAAGAGGGAGCTGAGCCAGAAAGCCAGGCTCTCGATTTACCGGTCGATCTACGTCCCAATCCTCACCTATGGTCATGAGCTTTGGGTAATGACCGAAAGAACGAGATCGCGGATACAAGCGGCCGAAATGAGTTTCCTCCGTAGGGTGGCCGGGCTCAGCCTTAGAGATAGGGTGAGGAGCTCGGACATTCGGGAGGGACTCGGAGTAGAACCGCTGCTCCTCCGGATCGAAAGGAGCAAGTTGAGGTGGTTTGGGCATCTGGTCAGGATGCCTCCTGGACGCCTCCCCGGGGAGGTGTTTCGGGCATGTCCTGCCGGCAGAAGGCCCCCGGGTCGACCCAGGACACGTTGGAGAGGTTACATCTCCAATCTGGTCCGGGAACGCCTTGGGGTCCTGCCGGAGGAGCTGGTGGACAAGGCCGGGGAGAGGACGGCCTGGAGCTCCCTAATTGGGATGCTGCCCCCGCGACCCGGACCCGGATAAGCGGAGGAAGACGAAGACGAAGACGAAGAGTTACCTTTGAACTGCAGTTCTGAAAGATCTACCGACCGCAAAAACAGCGGAGTGCCGCTGCTCGCCGGCCGACTACAACGGGACCGTTTTTGCTGCGGAGTTCATGCCGGAGCGGAGTGGAGATAGTGGAATCTTGGGGGTGCGTCACCGGAGAACAAAACAGGTGATGCGCCTCGCTCCGCAGCAGCGAAACGCATCAGGCACAAATAACAGACAGAAAACATGAAAGGAAATGAGCCGACATGAACGATCGCGTGTTTAATTTGTTTTTGAGGTGGTGACACCTGATTTGGCGGTGCTCAGGACGCAATGTCTGGAGCGCACGTCAACGATCAGAGCTTTGCATGCACAAACTGGTTAAGATTAGGATGGGGGTGAGGGGAAGGTTAAATTGCAAGAGGGAAAAGGTCACAGTTTGGTTAAATGTCCGTTTTACCGCCGGTGTCAGTACCGCACAGCGCGTCGTCTCCGCCTTGATCCAGACGCGCAGGGGCTCATCACCTGCTGTCTTTTCTGAGGACTGCATCTTGTCAGTCATTATCACGTGACAGCGACTAGTTGATGACAGGCATAAAAAGTCACTACAGAGCCGTGAAGTCGACTAGTCGACTAGTTCGTACAACCCCTAATCCATACCGCTCAAGAAAATGGTACAACCGCATTTTCAATGCTCCACTTAGCATTTGTGTGGTGAATGCTCACATTCTTTACATCAGGAGTGTTCCTGGTCCACACAAATCACTGAAGGTCTTCATTCAGCAAATAGTGACTTCCTTACTTGAAGGCTACTCCTGGAAGGAAAACAAAAAAGGAGGAAGACCTTTAATGCAGCTGGGAGAAGTGCCACAGAGGCTCACTGAACGGCACTGGCTCTGCAATGCAGACAATCGTCCAGACTGTGCCGTTTGCTCAGATCGCACGCGCCCAAAAGGCCGTCGCCAGACAACGTTTCGGTGCAGTCAGTGTGGAGTGGGTTTGTGTGCCGTACCTTACAACGAAATGTATCACACACTGAAAAACTACAAGCAATGTCATCTTGATCAATAAAGAAAGAGTGCTCATCTTGATACTCAAGAAAACATAAAAAAATAAAAATAAAATATATATTTTTAAAAACTGTTCAGATTGCTTTCTCTAGTTCAAATTGGTCATCAAAACGTTCAATCAATCTATCTATCTATTTATATCTATCTATCTATCTATTTATCTATCTATCTATCTATCTCTCTATCTATCTATCTATCTATCATCTATCTATCTATCTATCTATCTATCTATCTATCTATCTATCTATCTATCTATCTATCTATCTATCTATCTATCATCTATCTATCTATCTATCTATCTATCTATCTATCTATCTATCTATCTATCTATCTATCTATCTATCTATCTATCTATGATGTTATAACAGTTATAAATGTGTTCATGACACTGAAGCACCAAAAACAGTGTTCTTGATTGATAGGCAGTAAACTTAACAAAATACCAATAAATTAATAAATATTATGTATATATAAATACATAGTTATATATGTCTGCATAGGAATATGTATATATGTATCATAAACAATAACAACACTAAGAAAATAAGACTAAAACATTAAAAAAATCTGCAAATGTGATGAAATCCAATATGGCTGCCACTTGATGATGTCATAATACGCAAATTATGTGAGTGAATTTGTTCCTGTCACAAAATTTGGCTCATACTGAAGATGTTTCTAATTTACAATATTCCTCTATCTCTAACCAGGTTTAAGCTACAAGCTCTTAAAATAGTGATATTAAAAACTCATATTTTACTGAAAAAACTATGGTGCCTAAAGGGTTAAATGATTGATTTAATTCTGAGGTATTAACATTGCTGTTGTCCACATAAATATTTATTGCAGAAAATCCTTCTTGCCCGTTCTTTAATAAATGATTACCATAAGGAAATTTTAAGTTGGTAAATAGAATCAAAGACTTAAATATTGTTGGGTTTAATTAGTAAATGTATTCTGGTTTCTGCATGCCGGTGATGTGTTCCACCACAACATTATGGACTAATGCTGCATTGGACAACATTCCATTACCCAAACGCTGCTCACTGCTGTCTTTTTAATTAAGAGAGAACGAAAATCTAATGAGGATTTTTGAGCCACAGTAAATGTTGACAGTGAGGAGCCGTGGAATAAAGCGGAACATGTCCTGATTATGTGAGAACTTCCTCTAATAATGATTGTTTTTGCTCTCCACACAACAGTCACTGAACCAATAACCAGATGTACCAGAGATCCAGATGGGTCACAAAATAAGCTTTTTTTTCCTTTAAATCATTAGAACCACATCATCTTGGATCAAAGTCTACAGTAGTTAGTGATATTGGTGTTGTGAGTCAACAAGTTGAGTTGTAATTTTATTTCTTTATTAATTTATTTAAACTGATTTGTACTTTGGTTTCCAGGCAAGCCTGTGATGATCATTACTGAATACATGGAGAATGGATCACTGGACACCTTCCTCAAGGTAAAGCAGAAAGAAGCAAGTATTTATAGAATGTTGTGAGACCGATGATGCATTTTCTGTAGGTTTGTAAGGACTATGGAAAGTATGCGTTGCAGAAGAGGGTGATATGGCATATGCACCTTCATTCTAAGTGGTAAATAAATGAGTGGAAACTGGTGACCTATGTGTGAGATTGGGAGTAAAGGTATAGGAGGATATTTTGTGATGCCAATGTTTGTTTCTCGCATTGCATTATGGGATTGTGGGGCAAGAAACATTGTATTTTGTGTGTAACTCGATTGTTTTGCTGTCTCCTACTTTACCATGACCATGGCTTTCTGTTTTGCAGAAGAGATTGGCCCAAATTTCCTTTAAACCAAATAATCGTTGGCTTTCAGAGTTTTGAAAGCCTTTAATTTTGCATGAGTGAAGGGTCCAGGGCTTTCTATTAAATAGGAATAAAGGTCTCCCAAGAAGATTTGTGAAAAAACACCAGCTCATACTGGCTTTTAATATGGTAAATGGCCTATATTTGTATAGCACCTTCTTAGGGTTCTGCAACCCCCCCAAGGTGCTTCATCCCACCCATTCACACTCTGGTGGGGATGAGCTGCAAGGTAGCCACAGCTGCCCCGCACGGACAGAGTCGAGGCCTGCCGGCCACTTGTGTCACCGGTCTGTCTGACGACCACCAGCAGGCATCCTGCCCAAGAGCGCAACAGCAGCATTCTCTGCTGGGAGCCGGAATCGAACCAGCAACCTTTCAATTACTGGACAACCCGTTCTATCTGCTGAGCTACTACTGCCCCAGTAACTTTTTTCTTCAATACTGTACAGATTTTAAGCTTCTCTCTAAACCTCCTCCTGTCTTTAGTGTTTTATTATTGGGGATTTTATCTAGTAGAAGCTTTCTTGAAAGTGTGCGTCACGAGCCATAGTTTGTGTGTTTTTGCTGTACTGCAACTCACACATGCACATAAGGATGAAACTAAATGCCAACAAAGATCCTCCTATTACTGATGTGGAAAAGCAAAGCAAAAACCAATATTTTGTAGCATGGAAGCCCCATTTTAGTTACTGAGGCTCAGTTTACAATTTGACAATACCTGCCAAAGATACAAGTATTCAATTTTAGATCATCCTCATTCTACAAATTCAAGCAGAAAAGGGCTAAAACTCAGTGGGAAAGTCAGGATTTTTCTTTTTCAGTCGGATAATAATGACATTAGAAATGTATTTAGAGTAGTAACAGCTGACAAGTTCAGTTACTGAAATGTTTTTAATAAATAGTCAGACCTAATGGGACATGTTTTTTTATGCAAAAAAAATTTAATAGTCTCCACATTATTTTCTGCCATTTTTGGCTTTAAAGTTGACTCAGCTTAGTTTGCTCAAAAAAGTTCAAAGTTATCTGAGTCCTTCAAATTAGAATAATGTCTGGTCTTACATAATGGACCCAATTTCCCTTTTAAAAGGGGCATGGTGGACACATTTCTGAACAGAATGATTTGTATCCCCCAGTCCATTCAGTGTTTACAATACTCATATTCTCAGCTGACACAGAGAGCTAATTCCTGACTGAATAGAGTACTTTTCTAGAGCAGATGTCTCATAAAGTAAGAACAAAATAAGGTTTATAATTCTAGTTCTTTGAGGTGTAGCTTTCACTTTAAGGAAGGAGCACCCCCGCCAAGCATTGTGATCTTAAAAGGAAGAGGCTGAGAAGATACACAGAGAGAGATGTGGTCAGAGGAAACTGCTGACATACCTTTTGGTAATAAACCTTCATGGCAAGGGGAAAGTAGAGAAGATTGCAAACCAGCAGAAGGGCAGACAGAAAACCCCGTGAAGTAATTACATGGATGGCTGGTGCACCGAGGCTAGTATAAATGACACAGTCATGAGAAAACCAGGAGCTAGGTGGGGGTCTGGATTAGCTGCCACAGCTTCAAACAATGCACTACAACCCTCATAACTCACATATTTGGTTTAACATCTCATTTCACATGTAAGTGGGATGTTCTGCTGTGGCTGGATGGAAAACGTGGTTGTAGTGGTGAAGGAAACTGAGGCTGAAACCACGAGGGGACGAGTCATGTTGAGATACAGCTACGTGCCCGCTGTGGAAACGTGATGAGCAGATAGGTTGGAGAGTTGACATTAGGTTGAGAAGGAGCTGAAGCTTAAACCAACAACGAGAGCTGTCATTGATAGAAAACTAAAGCTCCTTTTAAACGTGCGCAGCATCCCATTAATCTGACAGCCTCTGAACTCGGTCTGAATGAGCATCCTGATGCTTTTCTGAAACAATCGCACGAGGCAGGCTTTCTGGGTCAGACCTACTTCAGCACATAATCTACTTTTGAGAATCGTCGCACTGTATCATCCAAACTTTCAGAGTTCCTCATTTTTCCAACACTGATTTTTTTTTCTCTTTTATATTTGACAGTAACTAGCTCTGTCATTGTATACAGCAGTAAATCTCCTGTGAGCCATGAAAAATCCCTTCTCGTGGCACCCGTTTGAAAAGTGTAAACATGTAGGAGTGTGCTATTTTTAAAGTGCATCCATCCACTGCTGTTTTAGTCTAACATCACTGGCTGATAGAATTATGGCAAACTGCTGTGAGAAAGCTGTGACTCCTAGAGGGGTTAGCAGTGGTTTCAGTTACATCCACAACAGCACAGCACACTCGGTATTGACAGGATACCCAGACAAAATAAAATTCAAGACAGGAACAGGTCCTTGAGGCACATTTCATCCATTCATTTATGTTCTACTTATTCAAAGTTGGGTCACAGAAGTAAGCAAGTTCAGATTCCCAGGTATTCCTTTCTGCTGCATCTATCTCCATCTTCTCTCAGGGAATACCAAGGTGTGCCCAAGCCAAGCCACTACATGGTTTTGTGTCTGCCCTGAGTCTCTTCCTGATGAGATGTATGTGCAAAACCTCCAGAGAGAAAGTGAAAGGAATCTCAGTCAGATGCTCAAACCACCTTAGATGAGTTGTTTTGTTGAGGAGGACCAGCTGTCACTGAATGATGTAGCTCCTCGTGTTATTTCAGATGTCAAGTTCAGCCACTAGGGTTGGGTATTGTTTGATTTGGACAAATCTGATTCTGGTTTCAATTCCTCGTTTCGATTCCAGTTCCTATCAATTTCCAACTCCGATTCTTTCAAGAGAAGACATGTTTTACATGAGCTAGCTAACCACAGGTCCTACTTGATGAAATAATCTTAACTTCAACATGAATTTTAATTCTATGAACAATATTACGTCCCCCATCTCGCTAGGAGTGATGTGGTGGAGGGAGTAATGAAAACGTGTGAGGTAGAAATAACAACAGAGTAGTGTGTCGCTAAAACAAGGATTTTATTACAAAACTCAGGTGGATTAAAAGTATTTTCCATAAATAAGGGATATCTATATAGGAAAACAAAGGATCTATGTACATAAGGTTCTAACAGAAAATTCCAGCCCAAAAGGGGCTGGGAATACTAACATAAAAAGTCCAACCAAAATCCACAACAAACAGAAGCAGAGTGTCACACCCTGTCCTGTCTCCCCTTAGGTTTTAGTCTGTCTCCGTTAATTGCTCCCACCTGCCTCTTGTTTCCCAATCACCCTAGCTCCCGCTCATTGTGTATTTAAACCCCTTCTGTTCTGTGTTTCATGTTGAGTCATTGTTTCCCATGTCCAGCGTGTTCTTTATTAAAACCTTTAAATGTCCTACCTGTCTGCCTGTCTTCCTGTCCCGCGTCTGGATCCTCACCTGATCACCGCTCCGCTCACCGGCACGCTCGTGACAGAATGATTCGACCCCCAGAAGGATCCAGCGGGAAGGTTATTCCCTGGGAGTACCTGTTCCAGTTTTTCTCTGCGGACCATCGGCCGGCATCCTCTCCTCCTCAGGCTTCGCCTCGCCGCAGACAGCGTCCCCGACCTTCTGCCTCGGCGTTCCTCTCCACCCTCCCGGAGCCAGGTGAGAGAGTGGACGGGGAGACGCTTCCTGATTGCTCCAGTTACGTGGGCACCCGCCTGGCTGTGTGCTCTCCCGGAGTTGGCCGAAGGCGTGGGGAGAGATGCCGGGCTCCACCCTATGTCCCAGGACGGAGTTGCGACCTCGCCGCTGCCCCTGCTCGGCGCAGTTCCTTGGACACGCCCCCGGTCAGACCAGCAGTTCCGTCTCCGGCCGAATCTGCGCCTTCAGGTGGAGGAGCTGCGCCCGCAGCCCAGCTGACTGGGCTCGCCAGTCTCTGAGCTGAGTTGGTCCAGATTCGTCAGACCCTCAATCTCGGTAAGCTCCAGCTGGACGATCTGCTCGCCGCTGCCCCGGCTGGACGCAGCAGCTTGGACCCGCCCCAGGTCGGACCAGCTGTCCCGCCACCGGTCCAATCGGCTCCTCTGTCATCTGCAGGAGGAGGAGCAACGCCCACAACCCAGCTGACTGAACTTGCCAGTCTCCAGGCTGAGCTGGCCCAGCTTCATCAGATCCTCAGGTCTAATCAGCTCCAACTGGACACTGCACTCCCAGTCTCCAGCACCACCAGTTCACTCACAGCCTGTTCCAGCGGTGGTCCCGGTGAAGGCACCGCAGCCGGTCCCGCCTTTCCAGACAGCTCCTCCTTTAGCAGCTTCACCTCCACTCCAGATGTCAACGGTTCCGGCCCAGAAGCAGATGGTGCGGGCCCAGAAGCTGACGGTTCCTGCCAAGAAGCAGACGGAACCAACCCAGAAGCAGACGGTACCAGCCCGGAAACCGGCGGCTCAGAGACCGGCGGTCCAGAAGCCGGAGGACCAGAAGCCGATGGAAGTTGACACCTCTTCCAGTCCAAGGGTCGACGCCTCCAGTCCAAGGGTCGACACCTCCAGTCCAAGGGTTGACGCCTCCAAGCCAAGTGTCGACGCCTCAAAGCCAAGGGTCGACTCCTCCAGTCCAAGGGTCAACGCCTCCAGTCAAAGGGTCGACGCCTCCAGTCCACGGGTCGATGCCTCCAGTCCAAGGGTCGATGCCTCCAGT